ATTCAGTAGCGTATACTCGTTTTTCGCGAGTGGAACGTTTTGTTTATATATTGCCTAAGATACGATGTCTGACACAGATACAGCCGACGAAGTGGTTGACATCAGCGCAACCCCACCCAAAAAAAGGGCTAAGAAGCTACATTTAAGTGCAAATGAAAAACAAATAATATTAAATATATACAAAAACCAAATTCAAGAAAAACCCGATTTGGTCGTGGACGAAGTTATATGTAAGGTAGCACATATTTCTGGAGTATGTCGGTCCAGTGTTTATAGGATCATTAAGGAATATAGGAGCACTCACTCACTTTCTGAGCCAAAACCGTATCCTGCAAGAAAAAGGATAACGGACGGAGTAGATGACTTTGACAGAACTGCCATCAGGAGGAAAGTGCATAATTTTTTCTTCCGAAATGAGATACCTACAGTAGATAAGATATTAAGATTAGTTAATGCTGATGAGGATCTTCCATCATTTAAAAGAACCACATTCCGAAAACTTTTGAAGGAACTTAATTTTCGATTCTTGAAACGGGGAAGAAACAGTATGTTAATAGAGAAAAAAGAAATTGTTGTGTGGAGAAGGGAATACCTTAGGAAGATTCGGAAGTTTCGCGATGAAAAAAGAAAAATTTACTATTTGGACGAAACGTGGGTGAATGCTGGACATACTCAAGCGAAAGTTTGGGTCGACAAATCAGTAACATCATCAAGGCAGGCTTTTCTAGACGGTCTTTCGGCTGGATTGAAAAATCCTGCAGGTAAGCTCCTTCATCTATCCGGCAATTTAATTTTGATAAATTCGGGCAAATAATATGCTGTGATAGCAGATAATGCGTGATATTCTCCAAAAATGGTGCATTCGCATTGTAGTCATTAGGAAAAAAACTTCGACCCTCTTTTAAGCGTTATTTTGAAATTTATTATCATTTTTGGGTGCAGTCAATTTGCTTTGAATGGGTTTTGAGAAGTTGCAAACTTCAATTTTCTACGTTTTTCAGTTTTTGATCAGCATTCCGTGACTCTTAAATTCAGCTAAATGAACTCAATTGCCTCATTCCTTCAAATTTAATCAATCCATAGTGTAAGGAATAATTTATTTCCAGGAAAAGGCAAACGGCTGATCATTTGTCACGTAGGTAGTGAAGACGGCTTTGTTCCCGAAGCACTGTGGGCCTTTGAATCAAAAAAGACAGGGGACTATCATGAGGAGATGGACGGCAATTCCTTTGAAAATTGGTTCTCCAAAATGTTACTAAAGCTGGAGAATAACGCTGTTATTGTACTGGATAATGCCCCGTACCATTCTAGAAAAATAGAAAAAATTCCCACAATGGCAACTAAAAAAGCAAACATACAACAATGGCTGGCCTCAAAACAGATCGATTTTGATGAAACAATGGTCAAGGGTGAATTGACAAGTATAGTCAATAGACATAAATACAAATACGATTTTAAAATGATCGACGAAATGGCCAAAAAACAAAATAAAACTGTCTTGAGACTGCCACCCTACCATTGTGAGCTGAACCCTATTGAGCTGATTTGGGCCAACATAAAGCAATACGTGGCGTCGAATAATAATACTTATAAATTTTCTGATGTTAAAAATCTCTTTCACATCGCAGTCAATAGAGTTACGGCAGAGGAATGGAAAAACTGTATCCGCCACGTTCGGGAGAAGGTTGAGGTCAAAATGTGGGATTTGGACAATGTCATCGATACCCAAATTGAACCTCTAATAATTCATTTAAACGATTCAGAAGATTCAAGTTCCTCTTCTGAATGAGTGCGCGCAGCTTACTTACTAATAACTAAAAAGTGTAGTTAACTCATTTGTGAATCTCTAACTGAAATTTACTGTAAAAGATAATAATTATCTTGTATGAAATTTTTGATGACTACCCATAATATCTTGATGCGGTCCTGTAATGTCTCCTGCGCCTAAACACTCACTCACGAGCAATATGCGTGTATTTGTTTGGGTTTAGTTTCTTTCTTCAGCGCCTAGAGTATAAACAATATTCGTAGTTTTTGTCGCATTCCATTCACTGTTTTTGCGCGCCGGATGATGTAGGTGTTACAAAGGAGATGTACGGATATTAAGACTAACTTGGCATTTCTTGGTATAATTTTTAGAAACAAATTAACTAAATAGATCATGGCCATACTTGTTAGTTTTGGGACATGCCGTAACTTCTATAAATGGGACTTGTTCAAGGGCGTATCCCCCTTTTCCCTAACTCGTTAAAAATTTAATGCAGCGAACATTTTTTACAAAAATTATATTACTCAATCAGCTGAATCAATATTCGATGAGAAATTATTAAGTTAGGTGTCTTTCAAGTTCGAACCTTCGCCTTTGGGATTTCTGCATAACATTATGAATCAATAATTACTGACATCCAGGCTACACGGTCAATAAATATCACATCTCATGATAAGTATATTGACGGATCACAGTAAATACTGATCTTCTGATTTACCTAAATGACGGGGAGTACCTTTGGGCAAGTGGGGTAGCAACATAAAAAATGGAACGTGGACAGTGGAGTATTTCCGAATTTAGACTATGTCGATTTTATCATTTACTGACTTTAGACCGGAACAAGCCTTTTCAAACGTCCACATTGTCTACATATTTCAAACAAATTACACAGTATCAATCACACTAACTTTTTCTCTTCTACACGGTGGCATAATTAGTATTTTGATCCGCCGTTCCAGCTCTCAGTTTTTTTAAAGTTACGTGACGTTGTTCCTCCTTCCAGTTTGAACCAACTATATGAAGCTATAGGCACTTGAAGTTTTATATCAAAGCGTACCACGTTATCATCTTTGATTCTATGAAATAAATGACTATATGATAATTTCAAGGCTTGCTCAATAAATTTTTTTATTATAATTTATGAAATGCTATATTTGAAATCAGAACGTAAAGCTCTCCGTCTATGCAAAGGTGGCATACATAAGAAAAATCAAAGTTGAGACGGGGAATAAAAGACGAAAAGTCATACTAATGTTCTATATGCCTCCTTGCAGATGCAGAGATCAAAAAGTGGCAATGTCAATGTGCAGTTTATTTTGACATCCTATCTCAAATAAATTCAGAAAAATTAGAAACGATTTTGGGAAAATTCGTTTCTCTCTCCGTGTATGTCTGGGATACTGGATGCTTATCTTTGATGCACAGTCGATTGCAAGGATTCCTTTCACTATCTGGGAAGTGACCCACGTGCATAAGACCGTAGGGCGGCTCCTCTTGTCGCTCAACAGCAACTGGTTTTGGGCAATCACAGCATTTTACAGAGCCTTTCACACTATTCCAGTAACACACTGTTTATGATTATGAAAATGGAAAAGCAAGATGCCACATTAACCAAAAACTAGTGCCACGACTTAACTTGTGTTTGAATCTTTATGGTGACTATGTTAAAAAATGAAAGAATGTTCATATTTTAGTTTGCGTTACAGTTCATATTCTTATTTAATTCTTACTTAACAAATACCCTCGTATAAACCGTTACTTCAATAAATATGCTACTTTTCTTTTGAGTTAATAACTGTGGCATGCTGGCAGGTTATAGATTTTCGATTGTACAAATGAACCCAGAATTGTAGAACGACTTGAACCCAGGTAGTCAGGGTGGGAAATGTGGTGTCTCAGAAAAGGGAACTCTCCATCGGAGTACCTACCACATGGCTCAGTATTGGCTCCTATTTTACATTAATGACTTGCCTTTGGCAAGCATAGATGCTGCTTTCAGCCTTTTGCAGACGACACCAATATCTCCCTTACTGCAGGTTCTTTGGATGGATCCATATTGGGAATGTAAACCGTACAGTCGGATGTTAAGATTTGGTGCGAAGCGACTGGATTTCTACTGAATCAAAGCAAAACCCAACAGTTGTTGTGTAAATATGAATACATCATCTGCAAAATTCCGGAGGAGTACCTACGTCCACCCGTATCTTAATGTCCACATAAACCATGTGGCGAAAAAACTTGGGTCTGCATTGTATGCGTTAAGACGCCTAGAGGAATGCGTGAGTACATCGGTGTTGAAAACCGCTTATTATGCATTATTTCATTCCATCATGTCATACGCTTTACTAATCTGGGAATGTGCGGCGCAATCACATCGTGTATCTGGCATTCGGAGGAAGGCCTTCCGGATAATTAAGGGATTTGATCTTAGGGCTGTTTGTAGCTAGGCTTCTAGAGACCTAGAGATTTTAACGTTGCCCTCCCAATACATCATCAACTGCCTTCTCCACAAAAAGAACAACTTCACTATGTTCAGGATTCACAGTGATGTTCACGAACACGATACCAGGTTCAAAAGTAATCTAATGCCAGAGTAATTACGTCTAACGAGGTGTCAGACGTCTCCAGAGTACCAGGGCATACAATTGTTTAATCATCTGCCGAAAAGCATCAGTCAACAAATTTAAAGAAAATCTAAAAAGCATCTTAATGTCTGGTGCTTTCTATAGTACGTATGAATCTCTCTGGCATACATTTTAAAACTGTCATTTTTTTGAAGAATGTAGGCTTTCCCGGCTAATTTTAATGTCATTTAGGTTTTTCGGGCTGGTGAGCCGTGTCGCATCAAAATTGAAGAAATAATTCCAATGAAAATGGAAACAAAATATTAAATTAAATATTCGAACACACCTTCTTCTTGGGTTTGACAGTAAGCTAACTTATTGTAGCAGTCTGTAGGAACATTTTCTGCTGTAACATATTGGCAACGCGGCAGATTGCATGACCTTCTACGTGACTGTTGCTAGGCAATATAGTGATGACTCTTCAGTCAGCTTTTATATCTTTCTAACATGTGTTGATACACACTTCTCGTCCTTCTCTCTCGTACACATTGAACTCAAGCAGTCGGACAAATGTGGTTATCCCTGTATAATCTTAGCTTGATTTGGATGAGTCACTGATCACGCTCCATGCTACACGATTACACTCATCAGGAAATAAACATCATTAATGCAACTCAAATCAACTTTATTTTCATGCATAAAATGTCCTCCACCTAAATGGAGATATGTCAGCAAAAACAATTCACAAAAAGAACTTCCTTCTACTTGTCTCCATTTTATGCCGTCTTCCATCTATGAAGGTGCCTTTCTGCAAAGATTTCAATCGCAACGTAAATCTCGGCCCGAGCTCCATCAATCTTGCTCTCTTGCCATCACCGTCGAAACCGTACCTAAAAAGGGAATTGCCTTTATTGTACTTACTAATACACTTCGCGCAAAGTCGGAGCTATAAAGGGGAGACCACAGCCGGCCAACCATGGACGTGCTTTTTGGAAACACATAAGCATGGTCTCTGGTAGAACAATGAACAAAAGCTAAGCAACTATCCTGTGAACGAACGGACTAAAGCTATATTACTAGTTTCTTCAATGGTGAGTAGACTGTATCTGCTATACCACCAAAATCAAAGGACATCTAGCGGTCACAGTGGTGATCTGGACGTTAAACTAATCCTAGAATTTTTACTATGTATTAATCCATGAATGACGTCACCTCAACAAGTTGTCACTTCTGAAAGATGCGATAGCCCGAAATAAAGCACTAGCGCTACTGTAGCGATATCAAAACAGTTTAGATCTGGTTTAGCTCTTAATGGCCTTCACAGGTTTAATGCATTAAAAGGCCTTTATTGCATCACAAATCTATTTACAAAAATGCAATTATTCAAACTTCAATAACAGAAAGATGTTAAACTAGGTTCAAACTTGACTGACATCTCAACCAAAAATACTTGTAGGAATAATAAATACTCACCTATAATGTCTGAAAAAGATATAATCCCTCCCTCTGATTATGGTAGGCGACAGCTCTGGCGCCTTGAAATTCTGGATCATAATGGAACAAAGCTCCCAACATTCTGCCAACAGTGAGACCCAGCTTTGTTTTAAAATTGTTCAAAATAACTTCTGGTCTATGTGCAGTAATATCCTTGTGAGATTTTCTCAATTCCGTTGTGATCTTCACATTACTCAATCTGAAATGAGCTGTTGGTCCATTTGGCAAATGTATAACCAACAGTCCATCGGGCTCCTTCCTATTTTGATTTATTACAAATATTCATTTTTAATGGCACTCTTTACCATTTTCTTTACAACTGATGTATTTCTATAGAGCGACACTGAATTTGGGATTATCCTCTTCAATTCCCTCCCAAAAATTCTACTTTTCTGGAACAAAAACAAGGTCGTTAGAAGAGGTTAATTATAAGAAAATCTAATCGAAAAGCGACCACTCGTTTTAGCAAGAGGGTGTCTGGTGGCTTGGATGGAAAAAATAACCCCCTTACAGTTTTAGAACCAAACCTGTGAGGCTATCCAGAAAAACCACCTACTTGGCGATCTTGTGAAATTTTTTTCAGTCTTGTCAACTTTCAAGATTCTCTATCTGATTATGAAGAAAGAACAGGTCGCTGGTTTACCCCTAAAGTTCATTGTTTCCAGTTATTCATGCTTTAACTCCTTAAAAATCCCCTTCTATTTTGCATCTATTGAAATTATTTTTATAAATCAGAAAATAATGTTACAGAAAACCTATTACAAACCATCTTTGATAGAATGAGCAGGTGTGTCTTAAGCCATATGGGGGAACTTGGGCACCCAAGAGCATGTGGCTTGTGGCTGAAGAGACCCCAGAGCAAAATCTGCAGCCATTCTTTGCCACTGGGGAAAAAAAAGGGTAGCTAGGTGGACAAAGAAGTTTACACTACTAATTGATTTTTGAAATTCTCGTTTGATTTTCGAGCACTGGAAAATCTAATAAATTGGATGTGAGTCACGTATAATTTTGTCTTAAGTAACTAGATAATTGTTTTCAATATCTAGGATGAGCTATTCCTAATTCTGGATCCCTGCACAGAGGTCATTATGAAAAAAAATCTTATAAGAATAAACAAAGCTGCTGTTTTTGTCTTATCCAGTGAACAAACACATATAAGCTGATCTCACCTTCATAGGATTGTCAGCATATGTTATTAACACTTTAGGTTCATAGGATTGCTTGTAGTAGTCACTGAACTCATCATTCTCTAGATCTTCTCGTACTAACTGGTTCTCTTCTGCTTCCAAATTCTGAATAATAGTTTCATCCTTTTCTCTTAAACTTTCAATTGTATGTGGCTGCTGTTTTGGAAAACCTTGCTTCTCTCTTTCTTTTTTAGCCTAAAACACAACGATCCAAGAAAACAGAACTTTAAACAGAATTATACGGTGCTTTGCTAAAGTTATGAGGCAGAAAGATAAAACTCCCTCATTTTGAAGACCAAGCAATCATGACATTTTGAATTCATAAAGTAAAAAAGATACAAACTAAGGCCAGTCAACAGGAAAGATTTCAATCAAAATATTACTGTTATCTACTTTATGCTGTTTTTTCTATTGCAACAACTTCTTAGCATCAATGTCACCAACTTTATAAGTATTCTACATTTTTTTATTCTATTGTCCCATTGCCCCACTATAAACATGATAGCATAGTCTATATGGCTGAATATGTCAGTATTTGGGTTTTCATTATCTTCTAAGGAAAATAGCTTATTTTGTTTTCATATTCATTGTCACAGGAGCACAAGACTACTTTTATACTGAGAACCAAATTTGTCTGATGACTTGACTTCAATGTGTACGAGAGAGAAGGGTGTATAGACACATATGTTAAAAAGAGATAGAACCTGGCTGGATAGTGAACCTCATCACCGCGTTGCCTATCAACGCTGATGCGAGAATCTGCATTGCAATGTGTTGATGTTGCGTTCACGTTCCCGACTGACCCATTTTGTGACTTTTTGATAAGATACATGGTAATTATATGTTGGTGGGTTGGAATAATGTTTGAATTTCTAATTGGAACTGGGTATAGACGGAAAAATTGGAATTTTTCATCAGATAATATAGGAAATCTTATAGAAAACAAGATTTTATTATCAGTAAATGTAATTTGTGGATCAGCTACTAAATAGTATGATTGTAAATTTTGAAAGTTTGGTACTTTTTTTTTACCATATAATTTTACTAAGTACTTTATGTTTTTCTCCAAGTCTGAAACTGATATGATAAAACTATGTAAAGTGTTCAATTTTGAAAACATTATAGCGTCCTCCAAATTGTCTAAAAATGTAATCAAATTTTGACAATTAAGATTAAGTTGCTGTAAAATATTTTCAGCGTGAAGATAAGCTGTCAAGCTTCCTACAGTTCCATTCATCGCATTTTGCAGATGATACAATTTCGTTTTGATCTGTACCTGATTAGAGCTTAATAATGAAATTGTAGAATTGTAATTATCTATCAATTCTTTAGTTAGTGAGGTCTGAAGTTTTAGTTGACTATGCACAGAATTTGCGTTCTTTTGTAATTCATGAAGTGCATTATTAATTTTGATTTCGTCATCTGAGTCCATTGTACCAAAAAGAAACTTTGAAGTTTTCCCTACGAGATTAATCAATCCTCGTTTCTGACGAATACGTGGAACAATGTTATCTAATTTTTTCGTAGCTTCTTGTATCAGAAATTTCGTATGCTTAAGGAGATTTGATAATTCAAAGTGCAAGTCTGAATGATCAGCATTTAAAGGCTTGAGAGTATTTTGGAGTTTTTCGTAATAATTTTGCATATTCGTAATCTGTCTTGTTAATGAAGTAGTTTCTACACAGTGAATAAAAGTATGATACGATTCTATAATACTAGCGTTACCTAGCGAATAAGGGAAAAGCGGGGCTTTTAAGGGTGTGACAACTGCGTCATTGTTGGCTTTGGTTGTCGCGACTAGTAGAAGGGATAGAATGACTATAGGAACCTTCTTGATTTCCAGATTCATGATCCTGCGGAAAAGAAGAAAAAGCTTTAGGTTTTTGAATTTGAGATTTGTGTACTAAACCTTTGCGTTTATTGATAGTCCAAACTTTTGTACCTAAATCTTTCTTAACTTCAGTTTTTGTGAATCTTGGTTTTAATTTACTCCCAGAAGCGGTTTTATCTTTGACATATGCTTTCGAACCTTGGGGGAATTTGGATGGATCTTCTCTAGTTTTATTACGCTTTTCTATAATATTCTTTTTATGAGCGTCTGTTGCTTGGTGTATATTGTTGTAAATGAATTTTAGTCTTTCACGTCTATCATCAATGAATTGGCTAACAATGATCTCATCTGATAGGTCAAATGGATCTAGGACATCTAAGCGGCCATTTATAAGGTCGAATGGTCGTTGTTTTGTAACACTGTGAATTGACGTGTTATATGCCAAAATTGCATTTTGCATTAGTTCTTTTGGACATAATTTTGGAAATTTAATTTTTAGAATTCTTAAGAGTTCTAGCAGGGTTGAATGTAATCGTTCTATGGGACTGTTGCTATTCGAATTACATGGTGTAGTAAAGTGAAGCTGGATTTTGTGTAATTTACAAAATTCAGTAAATAAGGAATTATTGAATTCTCTTCCATTATCAGTAGTAACTGACTGAGGAATGCCGTGATGATTCACAAATATCAAAATATTTTCATACACTGTTGCGGCTGTACAAACTGGATCTAAATGATAGGCTTGTGCATATTTTGAAAATGAATCAATAACAGTAAGAAATTTTGTGTTAGAAAATTGGAAAGTGTCCATATGTAACACTTCTAGGGGTTGCTTTGGCGTTGGTGTAAGTGAAAATTTTATTTTTGGTGGATGTCTGTCATACTTTGCTACTTGACATAACTCACAATTATTTATGTATTCTGTTACCATTTTTTGCATATTCTTCCAGTAGTATAGTTTTTTAAGGGAAAGTAACGTTTCGTTAATTCGTCTGTGACAAGTCTTTGTTTCATGATGATGAGAGATTAATTCTTTTTGTCTGTCTTTGTCTGAAATATCTCTAACAAGCTGATTGGAAAAATAAAGTTTATATGCGTGGTTTTTGAAATACAATGGTAGTATTTTGCTAATCTGGATATTTAAATCTTCAATTTCTGAACCTTTGACAAAAATACAATATACTTCGTTTGGATCAATATATTCTTTGAAAAACTTTATGATTTCTTCCTCTATGTTATCGCTAAGCTGTAACTGTATTTTATTAACATTTTCGAAGGGCTTAGTCCTTACAATATGATATCGATAGGATGATTTCTGTTCTATAATTATCTGATTAGAAAATTTGTTAGTAACATATTCAGTGAAGGGTATCTCTAATATGGGGTTTTCTACTGCTGTATGGACTGTAACACTGTCATCACTTGGCTGAGGGGGTACAATTTGGATATCTGAAATTATTTGTATTTTGTTAGAGTTATCAGGAACTTCAGGGATGAGAAATTCCTCTAGTTCTTGTAAGTCTTCAATATTTATTTCGGGGTTATCATCGTCTTGTAGAAACTGAAGGATATCTTCATCAGAATCTCCAGGATTTGCAATTATTGATTGATCCGTTTCATCTTGGATGGCGTTAAGTTCTACGCGAGATAAAGCATCAACATTGCTATTTACTTTTCCAGGTTTATATTGAATTTTGTAATTGAACTGTTCAAGAAACAGTTTCCAACGTAAAAGTCTGGGGTTATGTTCTTTCATGTTAAACAAATATTCGAGGGGTTTGTGGTCGCTAACTATGGTAAACTCACGTCCCCATAGATATGGTTTGAAGTATTTCAGACCATATACTACTGCTAATAATTCTTTTTCTATTGTGCTATAATTACATTCTGCTGGATTTAGAGTTCGTGATGCATAGACAATCGGTCGATCCTGTCCTACTTTTCCTTGGCTAAGAATACAACCTATTGCGTAATTTGAGGCATCAGTAGTCAAAATAAAAGACTTTCAAAATCTGGGTATTGTAAAATAGGTTCGTTGGTTAGAATATTTTTGCAAGTTTCAAAAGCTTTGATAAATTCTGCATTATGTTCAATTTTTGATCCTTTCTTAAGACATTTCGTAAGTGGTTTTGTTAATTTGGCAAAATTTTCGATAAAGCGTCTATAATAACCTAAAAGACCTAGGAACGATTTGATTTCTTTGACTGTTTTTGGAATTGGGAATTGTGTTATTGCTTGTATCTTTTTGGGATTCGGTTTTACACCATCACAAGTAACTACGTGTCCTAAATATTCAACTTCTTTACATAAAAATTCACATTTGTCTGGTTGAATTTTCAATTGTGTGTCCCTTAGTCTCCGAAATACTAATTTCAAATTTGCAATATGTTCTTCAAGACTAGTGGAAAAAATTATAATATCGTCCATATATACTAAACAAACTTTGCCTTGTAATCCTTGTAAAACATTGTCAACTACTCTCTGAAATGTACTTGGGGCATTTTTCAAACCATATGGTAAGCGGGTATACTCGTAATGTCCATGTTCTACACTAAAAGCGGTTTTTTCGATAGAGTTTGGATGCATCTCTATTTGATGAAATCCGGAAGCTAAATCTAAGGTACTGAAGTATTGACATCTACCTAACTTATATATATCGTTAATATTAGGTAATGGATATCGATCACTTATTGTTTTTTCGTTCAGCTTTCGAAAATCTGTTACTATTCTCCATTTTTGTTTCCCACTAGCATCCATCTTCTTACTAACGATCCAGATAGGTGAGCTATAAGGACTTTGACTAGGACGTATAATTCCATCGTCTAACATTTTATTTATCTGTCTTTGAACTTCCTCTTTATGAACAAAGGGATAACGATAATTTTTTGTATGTACTGGAATTTCATCAGTAGTTTTTATTTCATGTTTAACAATATTAGTGAACGTTAGCTTTTCGTTTTCATTGTAAAATATATCCCTAAACTCATGGCAAACTTTTAATAAAGTCTGTTTTTCCTCACTGTTCAAATGATCAGTCCTAATTGTAAGCTTACGAAATATCTCAAACACTTTTTTTTATTTTTTTGCATGCGAGTCCAACCCTGTAGCACACGAAAACTTTCCAGAAGTTACACAAGGCAGCTTAGTGTGACTCAACGCGACAGCCCTTACGCCTGTTTACATTATACATTCCATTCCTTCGCTGGGTACCTGCTCCCAGGATAAACTTTGATAGTCTGGCGTAGATGCATTTCAATTATCGCGTGGATCACATCGCTTCTCAGTCCAAGTAGAGTGAACTTCATTACGGTGTTGATGTGCTATTGGGTGTGGTGTTTTAGTTACCTGAAAGGTGAGCTATCACTGAGTGTTTCCTTTATTCTACTGTACTGCATGGATTGATAACCATAAATAATAGTTTTATATTCATGATCATGAATGTCTTAAGCCATGTTTATAAAGATGCTATACTTTTTACCTTCATAATTTAACTTATGGCTTACGACTTGTTATTGAATATCCGCAGGTGGGACGCCTCCAGGTTCTGGGGGTTGTTATGGGACTTTCGGAGCCCGTTTGCTGGGTTGAGGTAGTTATGTTAGTTACTGCTCGGTTTCCTCTACCAGGGGAAATGTCGGAGCGCTTTGGATGTTGACACGGTGGCCTTTGGTCGAAGTGGCATCCTTGGTCTTAATGACCGCTTAACTGTCTTCACTTGGCAATCGTTGGAGTCTGAATGTATCTCATGGCAGGATATGTGAAGGGATTGTTACTTTAATGATAGTCATATTGCTCGGTTACCTCTGATTCAGGGGTAATGTCGGAGATTTGGGGTATTGACACAACGGCCCTTGGTCAGCGTGATATCCCGGTTCCTGGACTGTCTTTTTGTAACAATCGTTAAACTCAGCACGTCTGACCATACACCTAGCGACCAAAGAGTTATATTGAGTCTGTCGTGATGACTCCTATTGAGTCTGTGTGATGACTCCTATTAAGTCTGTCGTGATGACTTAACGACCAGTCTGTCGTGATGACGGTCAGGATCAGTCTGTCGTGATGACGGTCCCGTGATTCAGTCGATGACGAATCCGTAATAGTAGTTGGGGTACATTAATGTAATGGTAGATAGTAGATTTGTGAATGTGTTATCATGAGTCGGTTGAATACGGGAGATACTCATAAGTCTTTTTCTAAAAATAGGTGTTGGCCCCGACAATCCAATCATATCGCCCTTATCGCTTGCCAAAGGAGGATAACTCGTTGTCGTTTCGTCACCAAGTAAGTGACTTTAATACTACCCTGACATTGTTGCCCATATCGAATTGTTTACGTACTGCCCGTGTAGTAAAAATGTAATGGTACGGGGCGGTACTTCGAAATCTTCTAAGATGAGATGTTTTCACGGTTATCGTTATATTGCTATTTTCATATTATCAATTTCGTATCCTACATATTTTCTCAGAAGTGGGATCTGACACTTATGTGCCTGGATCTGACACTTATGTGCCTGGATTTGACACTTATGTGCCTTGATCTGATTTCCTGATGAGATCATTTATATTTCGAGGGTCTCAAATAAAGAGGAGGATTTCACGGTTGGATCCATATCGGAAGTTTGGCTAGGAAACTTGGTTAGCTTGCCGAATCAATATCGCGGCTGTTTTGCTCAGTCGATGGCTGAACTCAGTGAGTCCGCTGAAATGACGATACAGCTTAAAGAGAAAAAGCATTCACGTATCGGGCTTACCAAATGGCTCACTCAGAGCTAGAGGCTGTGGAGGAGATAGTCGATGATATTCTGAGCGTGGAAGTCATATGAGCATGAGACTCAAACTATGCATCCTCGGTTCTTCTGATGAAGAAGAAAAATGAAGATCGAAGGAAGTTTATGTATCGACTATCGCCGTTTGTGTGTGATAGAAATTAAGGACAGTCACCTCTTGCCAACAATTGACGATCAAGTCGACAGTCTCCGTGACGAGATCTATTTCACCAGTCTAGATCTCAGGTTCGGATACTACCAAATCCCTATGGAGGAGGAATCATGGCCATACACAGCGTTTGTCACTCCGGGAGACATTGCAGCTGTATATCTTGATGATGTATTGCTGCATGCTAAGACTGCGGAGGAAGCATTAGAGGGTATAAAAAAAGGTTTTGGAAAACTTTCGAGAGGAAGGCCTCACTTTGAACTTGAAGAAATGTGCTTTTCTGATGAGATCAGTTACATTTCTGGGTTTCCAAATCGAGGATGGAAAGGTCAAACCCGGCGAGGAGAAGACAAAAGCGGTGGAGAGTTTTTGTCAACCAAGAACTACTGTACACCAAGTCCGACAGTTCCTTGGACTAACAGAATACTTCAGGCATTTTGTAAAGGACTACGCTATCGTAGCTAAACCCCTCACAAATCTTCTCAGAAAGAGTGTGTCTTGGCGATGGGGCGAGCAGGAAGAAGGCTCATTTAGGAAGTTGCAGAGCAACTTAGTGAGTCGGCCAGTTTTGGCTTTGTATGACGCAGCCGCTGCGACTGAAGTTCATTGCGACGCAAGTATGCTGGGCGTTGCAGGAATACTCTTGCAAATGCTGCCCGATGAGCGGCTACACCCAGTGGCGTACTACAGTAGACAAACCACCGATGGTGAGCAGAAGTACCACTCATATGAGTTGGAAACTCTGGCGGTGGTTGAGAGTGTGAAAAAGTTCCGGGTATATCTGCTAGGGGTTCATTTTATAGTAGTGACTGACTGTAATGCATTGAAGGCCACCAGTGTAAAGAAGCAAATAATACCCAGAATTGCTAGGTGGTGGTTGCAACTACAGGAGTTTGACTTTGAAGTGAAGTACAGACCTCGAATGGCACACGTGGATTGTCTAAGTAGAAATCCAGTCGGTTGTGCTGACGAGGCTGCCGAAACGGAAACGGTGTTCCGAGTTGATCAGGCTGAT